ATAATAACAGTGTTAATTATACTGTGTATATTGACACTGGAAACTGAATCTCAGCTTGCTTTTTAGGTGACCTTTTAGGTCGCTTTTGAAACTCACCCTGGCTGCATGTTGACCTTTTATTTACATTATTTATTTCAACAACCCTACTTTGTGGCAATAACATGTACATGGCTATGTGCTACTGCTCCTGACAGCTCTCTGTATATTTTTGAGAATAGTTCTAATTGTTGAGGTTTGCCTAAAGCCAAGCAAAGTAATTTGTTGCAGCAATTAGAGAATGTCACATATCCCTCGTGCTGCCTTTGTTCTGCTGACAGTCTGTTGCTAGCAATTTGTTTTATTATTCTGGTGGACATGAACAGTAGTAGCAGTAAATGGCATAAATGGCATTGCAGTATGTTAAGCTATGCCCAAACTGAGCAAAGCAATGTTTTCTGCTGAGAACATTTTTGTACTGTGCATTGTACATTGTTTTGTGGACAAAGATGGCTGGTAAGCCATTTGCAGCTCTTGTCAAGATTTCTGTTTTGTCTTCTAAATTAAAATACTGAAATGCTGTTGTGTCTTTGTCTCTCCTAAAATGAATTACAGGAAACTGTGTCTCCCAGGAGTATCCCATATTATCTCACTGAGGTAAAGAGATCACTTATATGTGATGCAAGGGTTCTGGCATGTTTTCAGAGGTGGGACTCCATTGATGGTGTCTCTGTCTCTCCTTTTTTTGTCTTAAAAGCACTTAAAGTGTAGAAATTAAGCTATATTTTATTTCCTAAGCATTAAATCTGATTTATTTTAAATATGCAATTCTAAGGAAAAGGAAAATACAGCTTTCTCTTTCTCCTTGCTATAAAATTGTTTTACATGTATATTAACTCCGCCTGTTCACCAGGTCCTCCCGTCCAAGTCTGAATCTCCTGCCTCTTCCCTAGCAAAGTCCTGCCCACCTGAACATCCACGTATGTTCAAAATGCATATTTTCTGTAATTTCTGCTGCTGATTTCTTTTTTAATTATAAGAAAAATCAATAAGCATTCGACCCCTCAATTTACACTTTCATCAGAGTTGTGTTCAGTTGAACTTAGCTCAGAGCTGAGGGCTCTCTTACATCTTCTTGTGGTTCTCCAGTGCCCTGGGCTTTTGTGTCTTGCTGTGCCTTCCCAGTGGGAGAGGAAGCAAACCCTGGGCTCTGGGCTTGTGCTGCCTCTGCTCACCCTGAAAGCCTGGCTCAGTCCCTGTGCCCAGCCCAGCAGGGCTCTTGCTGTGGTTGCAGGTTTCACACCACCCCTGCCCAGCTCGTCTCTGTGCTGGTTCTGGCCTTTATGGGCAGGTCAGACACCCAAAAACTGGAAAGCAGCTGCAGGTAGGGGAAGAGCCCTCCTGCCATTGCTCTGCTCTCTGTACCTTTGCTCAGGACTCAAGGACTTGCTTGAGGGTCTGCAACACACCTCTGTCACTCCTGTACAACTGGACATGAGTTCTTCCTCCCCTTCTCTTGGAGGTGACAGATAACAAATTCTCCTTGTAAATTTAAAGTATGGGCCATCCTAATTATTGAAATTCAGGTTTTGGTTACTTTCTGGCTGCGTGGGTGGCAATGGGAGACACGTTGGTAACTAGAGGTGCATTAGCACATTCTGCATGGACACTGCATTCCCATTTGTCCCTTCTGTGTTTCACAGAGCATGCAGCAGCTGGGTCACTGCGTGAAAGGGGTCAGAGGAAAAACACTTGTGCTCTCCTCAGCTGCCCATACCCTCACTGGCTCCTCTAGCCCAGGCAACCTTGCTGCTCTGCCTTCCAGCACCTGCAGGTGGTTTCCCACTCTTCCCTTCACCAAGCTGCCATAAAAATATCCTCTAGCCACAAACGGGGAGAGAAATGAGCAGCAGCTACATGGCCAAGAGGAGCTGAGCCACCCCCTGATGGTGTGAAGCACTTTTCACTTCCTGGGGATGTTCAGCAGGAACAGAGACTGTGGTGAGTGGCTGGAAGTGATCAAGCATTGCAATTGCACAGCTTGAGCTCTGTTATTCCCCCACCTCAATTTAAAAAGTGAGTTGTGATTGTAAGAGTATTTAAATATACTCCAGGTTACTCTTTAGGCTCTGCATTTTCATTAATTATGTGATGCAGTCTGACTCACACTCTTATGTAAGTACTGAGCTGTAATGAAGTCCCATGTTGTGGTTTAGTGCAGAGCTGTGAAGGATCATTGGTGTTTTCATTAAAACACAACACTTTCTGTCCCACAGGGCTTTGGACTTCAAGAATAGGGATGTGCAACTTCAAATTTGTCTCTCTTCTGCAGCTGTAAAGGAGGTGTGTGACAGCAGGGATTGCTCTCATCTAATTAGGTGGATTATTGGGTAGAATCTGGGGAAAATCAGGCCATTTACAAAATTGGTTCTTGCTGATAAACTGCTGCCTCCCACAATTTATCTCAATAGTTTTGTTTGTAAAAGATGCTGCATGTCAGCAGCAGAAATTCTTATTTCATCTGAAATAATGGAAGTCTTCTGGTTCATGCTCAGAACTTCCAGATTGATGTAGGAACCTCCACCCCATGACTCTCTCCACACACTGTGATGTGTCACAGTGAACAGCCTGGAGGTGGGATGGAAAGGGTAAGACTTATGAAAGGTCTAATATTTGTGTTTTAAATCAGATTTGCATTCTGTCAGCAGTGGTAGGATTAGAGCTATGGCAAGAAGAGCTGTGTTGGTAGTATGAAAGAGACTCCAGCCAGTGTAACTTGGAGGGAGGAGAATTTTTTGTGAAACCTTTAATAAAAAAGTGCACTGGTGTAGATACTGAACCTTGCTTATGCAGTGTTATTTTTCTGGGACCAGAAGTGTACAGGATGAGTTACTGAAATATATTTGCATATATAAATGCTGGGCTAAAGCCAGAACTACAAAATTGTTCAAGCACTCCCAAAAGGCCATTCTGCCAAATCCCTGCATACCATACATGCAGGCTAATTCGACTCCACAACAGAGATGGTACGTGGTATTTTTCACTGTTCCTCACAAAAACATACAACAGAAAATGCCAGAAACCTTGTATTACTAATCAAGAGCCGTTTTTCTTAATCACAGGATTTTAATAGATGTTCTGTGAAGAATATAACTAGTAATCCAATCACTCATGCACTCTCCTCCACTTAACTCAATTTCCTCTAACAGCCTAGTGATTGCAATCACTTCCCTGATTGTAGCAATTGTAAACCCTGCTCCTGTTCATCCAGTTGTGAAAGATGACTGGATGCACTGACTCTGTACCTAAATCAAACTGGAGCAGCAGCATCTTGGAATTGCAGCAATACAGGAGAAAAATCAAACCCATCTGAGATTTTTATTTTGTAATAGATTTTACATCATTGGAAATCAGTTGCTCTCCTTTTTCAGTGAGGAAAGTGAGGGAACAAACCCCCCTAAACCTGTCCACTTGTGATGCATGCTCTAAGCATGTACATGCAAAAGAACCTGAACCACAACTGGGGCCACAGCAGTCTTTGTGTGGATGTGTCCTTGGCTGCCTCTGCTCCACAGGCACAGAATCACACAGTGGTTTGGGTTGGAAGGGACCTCAGAGATCATCTTGTTCCAATCTCCCTGCTGTGGGCAGGGAATCTTCCACAAGACATGCTTCATCCAACCTGGCCCTGAAAACCTCCACATTCCTGGCCCTCATCACCCTCAGAATTTCTTCCTATCATCTAATCTAAACCTGTCCTCCTTCAGCTTAAGGCCTTTTCTATCACTGCATGCCCTTCTGAAAATCCCTCTCCAGCTGCTCTTGTGTGTTCAGCAACACCCTCCTAGCCCTGGGAAGCAGATCATCCTGTTCAGAAGACATGGCATACCCCCACACAGCTCCTCCTTGGTGCTGCCACACTTCAGCAGCTTTTGCTAGCTGCTCAAGGCTGACTTACCTCACTCTGCATCCATTCCCTCACTAATTCACTTGCAGGACCAATCTTCTTTTAAAAAAGTTTTCTTTCCTTTTTTTTTTCTTTTTCTTTTTTTTTTTCATTTCAGAGGATGCAAGAGACCAAATTCTGGTAAGGATTGCTTTAAATATGGTGCTAAAACTGTTCTTCTGCTGACACCACTGTAAAATTTAAAACTCTACCTTATGGTCACAGTCAAACAAGCATTTGGCTGAAAAAAAAGACTGTATTCTTGAGGGAAAGGAATGAACAGCACAGATGCTGGGTGCTAGTTCAGACAGTCAAATCACGCATCATACCCAGTGAACAGGCATCCAAACTGTAACTCACAGTTTTCACTCCTCTGATACTTGTATTCTTTATGCATTATCTGTATTCTTTGCAGCGGATTGTCAAGACTGTGGGCTGTAATAAAACAAATGAAATTTTTTTCCTGCTCTGATTGCCTTTTGATATTTTTTTATTAAATAAGTTTGGGTTTTTTTTGTTAATTTCAAGTGATTACTTGCAAACAAGTATTTTCACAGCTCTGGAAGTGACAAATCCTTGATGATGTTTCCCTGGAGTAATGTTTCCCTGCCATCAAATCAACAGCCTTGTCTGTCTCCAAGGTGAAGAGTGGGGGGGGGAAAAAAAGTCTGCTACTCCAAGACTGTTGGACATTAAAAGCCAGGAGCAGAAGTGCAGCAGGTAAGAACATATGCTCCTATTAAGAATTGCAGTACATGGGCCTTAGTAATTACTGCCCATCCTCTACACTGATCACTGCTCCTTCATCATGTTCCCTGTAGCAATGACTTCCATGCTCCTGCTATCACCAATTTTCTCCTTGCTGCTGCTGAAAATCAATGCTTGTGTTGCCTTTGGCTCATGCTTTTTGTCTGTGATTGACATTTCTTTAGTGGAACTAAAAGGCACCAGTGGGTTCCTAATGCACTTTCAGTGTGAGGCTAATGTCTTTTATAATGGTTTGCAGATAGATATTTTGAACCAACTTTTGTATCAACTGACCAACTTTAACCTCCAAGAGGAATTTAAGACAACTATCTGTTTGCAAAACAATTATTTTATTAATAAAAAGAATTATAAACAGTAAGAAAGAAACCCCAATTTTACACTGAATGAAAAATCCAAAATAAACTCCCAGAACCGTGCCTCAGTTCTTCACTCTCTGTACAAGAAATTCCATTAGGTAGTAAATCCTACATCCACATTCATCCAGCTGTGGGGTCCCCAGCAGGAGGAAAGACATCAAACTGTCAGAGCAAGTCCAGAGAAGGCCACCAAGGTGATCACAGGGACAGAGCACCTCTCCTGTGAGGAAAGGCTGAGAAAATGGGGATTGTTCAGCCTGGAAAAGAGAAGGCTTAGGGGTGACCTAATTGTGGCCTTCCAGTCCCTGAACAGAGCCTACAGGAAAGATGGAGAGGGATTTCTTACAAGCATCTGGAATGACAGACAAGGGAGAATGGCTTGAACGTGTAAGAGAACAGGTTCAGATTAGATATTGGGGGAAAATTCTTCACTGTGCAGGTGGTGAGGCACTGGCACAGGTTGCCCAGAGAAGCTGTGGCTGCCCCATCCCTGGAAGTGTTCAAGGCCAGGTTGGATGGGGCTCTGAGCAACCTGATCCAGTGCAAGATGTCCATGGCACCAGGGCTGGAACTCAATATTTAAAGTCACTTCCAACCCAGGCCATTCTATGGTCTAAAGATGACTGAAAGTACAAAAGAGCATCGTGCACCCTTCTATGCAGAGCAGCTGCATGGCTGGACAGATTTACCAGTACACACAAAAAATCACACCAGTGATTAAAAAAGCCATGCTTTGTGTAGCACCAAGGGGAGAATTCTGTAGATCACAAAAAATTCACCGACAACTGCAGGTCCTGAAATGCTGAATTAGGGACATGACTGACCAATTTCTGCTTGCAGCTTCATCTCATCTTTTCTCAAGGGGAATTTGTCAATCAGGGCAAAGAGCTCAGCTGGTGTTGCTGGGAAAGGGTAGCGTTCCTTGTCCATGCCGTGCTTGTCCATCACCACGATGTTGAAACTGTAATGGGGGATCCTCAGCAGCAGCCTGCAAAGTAAGGAACTGGTTTTGTTAAAGGGCAGCACCAGCCTCTTGAGTCTGAGCAGAGGAAGGTGGGCATGGTCACAGGGGCTACACTGAGTGTAGGTTTGCTTTCAGCATTGACAAGGAGCCAGATAAAGGGCCCTCTGCATCAGAGGAGTGTCAAGGTGACTGCACCCAGCTCTGCTCTCTGCCATTACTCATTGCTGTCACAGGAGTGAAACAAGGTTAGACAAAAGAGGTAGCATGAACATTGCCTAAAGAAAACCCTTGTGATGAAGCTTGAGTTACAAGTAAGACTATTCCCTTTCTTGGATTTCATTTCTTGGCTTTCCTTGGTACAAGAAGTCACAGTAAGAAAAAACAGGACAAAATTATTGGAGTCTGCTCTCACTGCTACCTAATAATAGCAACCATTTGTGACTAATTTTAGAGGAACAAAAGCCATTGCTAATCACGGAGGAGTCCTTCTTCCAAAGTGGTGGAAGTGGTCATTTAAGCTCCTCTAGCAGCAAAAGTTACATAAGTAACAAAAGTTTATCTGTGGTGCTCTTTTCATCTTTTACTTGATGTAATGTACTAGAAGATGCTTGGATATGCAGTCATTAGTGTGGGATAAACAAATTCAGGCTGCCATGAGAAAATGAGAGAAAGCTGCCATGAAGAAGAAACTGAGGGGACTTTGGAAAGGTATGAAGCATCAAAATTGGCCTTCTTCAGCCTCCTAACAAGTCTGAATGCTCTAGGCATAGTCTTGTTGCAATTAGGGAGCTTGGCCATTACATTCAAACTAAAATAAAGATTAAAGCTAAGCAATAGTGACAGAAAACTACATTCATCTTGTGCCATATATTACCTAACAAAAAATACTTCTAAAAATCCAAATCCTAAACTTCTGTGCTTTCCAAAGTTTTAACTGGGGCACCTGTGCTCATTAGCTTACTGAAATGTCAATTCTGGACAACACCTTTATTCTTAAGAGTGCATTTCATATTGATTTGAGCACCTTGCAGAACTGGAAAGCTGTAATTCACACTACAAAGACAAAATCAATGGAAAACTAACTTTGGCTGCGTGCAGGGCAGGTCACACTACACCAGTTTCTGAAATGTAGCCTCATTAAAGGTTGCAAGGGAACAGGGAATGCAATGTTAAGAAAGCTTATTATTTTCTACAGAGCCACAGGAAAACCATTTAAACTTTAGTAAAAGCATCTTTATTTTAAAAAAAAGAGGTTTTTTATTTATTGAGAAGTTTTTTTTTTAATGCTTTTAAAAAATCCCCGCTCTGCTGTGTCAGCAATTTTCATTGTCTCCAATTAAAACTTACTCCCTTTCCTCAGGCATATCATAGATTATGTTGTTTAAAATGCTCCTTGAGTTTTTTCTAAACAACTCTTCCTGCCAACAAGGCCTTCACTTTTGGCTTTTTTTCCTCTTCCAGTCCTTAGGAAATGCTGGCACTGGAAGTTTTCCTTTCAAGTGCCAGTCTAAACCCAAGTCAAAACAGTTTCGGCACCTCAGTAAAACTGCTGATGCTGCGGTCAGGCTGAGGAGGCTGAGATAATTTCCCCTTTGAAATACTGCCCATCTTATTCCTACATATGGAACTTAAAAGAGTTTCCCCTTTAGCCTGGCCACAACCACCACCAGCCCTGGTGCAGAGGATAAGCTGTCTCTTGCAAAGGAGCATTTCCAATACAAATACAGACAGACTGAATTATTTTCAGTGGCAGCACCCAAAAATACAGACTTAAATCCCTATGAGCATAGTCATATTAAATGTATAATTAAATCAATTTGTTATTGTGTTTTAATTTGCTGTAACTATTACACAGACAGCATATTAATCCTGAAGTGTGCTCACCAATATCTACTTCCCAGTGTCTAGCGGTGTACATTAGAGTAGGAGATGTGGTATTTGGAGAGTAAGTTGCAGGGATCAAAAGCATAAAGTGGATAAGGTGCAAACACAAAAGCAGTGAGAGCTTCCTTTACCTGAGCTGCAGGGCAAGTGATGGGGGCAGCAGCTTCACTCCTATCCTTCCTATCTGTGCTGGGAAGACACCAACCAGCTCCACCACGGTGACATGCCGCAGGTCTAAGCCACACTGCGCCGGCTGCAAGGGTCAGAGGAGAAAGGGAGGGGTGGTTATGCCTGAGAGAACAGGGCATGTTCTGAGTGTGCAGCAAGGGTTCACAGAGCCCCCTCTTCTTAAGTTGGTTAAATGTTTTAAACTGATTTCAGAGCGTGTTTTGCAAACACTCAAATTCTCACAGCAAAGAACTGGAGCTTCATGACTCCAGGGGAGGTTAAGTAACAGATTTTCAGATACTCTAAGAAAACCAACACACAGGGACCACCTAGGAGAATTATCAACTTGTCTCTGTAGTTATATAAGAAGATGGCAGGATACTAAGCATTGTACCAATAATGTAATTTGGCAATCAAAGCAAATTATGTGAAACAGAAGTTGACTGCAGAAAGTTTGCTTCCATGCCAACTCATTTGCCTGCTGCCAAGAAGTGGAAATGTACTATAGCCATTAAATTCAGTTTGATCAATATATTGAATTTTCTTGCCAAGTTTATCTAATAGGGAAAAGGAGCTGCTTTGTTTTTTGTTTTTTTCTTAAATATAAATGTAATTTAAGCCAACAGTAAAAAAAATAATCACATTAATATCTCAATGATTATTTATACTGCATTTGGTTACAATTTCTGAGAAGAAAAAACAAGATAGGAGTGCTTGTAGCTGTGAAAGAATACAGGACTGATTCCTTTCCTTCCTTTACCTGAGGAGACAAATATATTTGGAGATCTATCCCTAAGACTAGCAAAAAGCCAACAAGGGCATCACACTTACAACACATAAGAAGGAAAATTACCAGGTGTTTTGGGTTTTTTGGAACAGAACACCCCAGTGTTACCTCCAGCACTCTGGATGATTTCTGTGCTGTGTCTCTGGTACTTTGTTTGCTGGTCCACTTTTTTATTTCTGAAGCTATTCACACTTCCTTGCATTGTAGTTGCAAATTCTGTAAGCTTGGTCTGCATGAGCTGCTTAAGAGCTGGAAGGTTTGGTTTGTGTTTTTTTAAAACTTCTTTAGCAGCTGAGATAGGGAATTATTATTGAGCATGAGTTAAATTAATTTGGGGAGGATACAAGGGCTAAAACTGCCTGGGATTCAGCAACTGGTCAGAGGCAGCACAATCCAGAATGGAACTCAAGTTAGAGACTGGGGGGATATTTCAACTCAACCCCCTGTGAAAAGGATGAATCTGGAACCATGACTGCTTGAGCCAGATCTTCCAGTGGCTACAATACAAAAGCTTTTGGATTTACATAAAACAGTGGAGCTTGTTCTCTTGTGTCTTTCTTTAAAGTAAAAAAAAATAGTTGCACATCCCTCTTAAATGTGTTTTACCTGCAGCATCCCCAGCTGCATCCTGTAGAAGAAGTTAGCTGCAGTAGGAGTTGAAATAATTAGCAGTCTCCGCTTCTCATAAAACTGATCCAGAAGTGCAGCTGCAGTCCTCACATTCACATTAATATTCATGGCTGGAATAAAATGAAAACAAAAGTTACAGAGCATACTGAAAACAAATCTATCTCTAGAGGCAGAGGTCAACAGCAGAAACACAAAAACAAATAATAAAGAAGACATGAGTGAAATGCTGGCCTCATTGAAGCCAACAATTTTACTGTAGACTGTTCTAGCTTGCACAATGGATTGACTCCAGAATGGGACATTTTGTGGAAAGCTTTGAGCTAAAACAAACTCTAGGAAAGAGCAGTCAAAGGCTCAGCTGTTAAGTGCAAATTGGCAGAGGACACAAAAACGATGTTTCTACCTCTGGGACACTGCAGCTGCATTTCACCCCCCACCCCCTTTCCAAATTCTCACTGCCCTAAGAACCTCTGTGCTGGATTCCTCCTGGTAGAGTGGTGAAATACTCACTTACGTGCACAGGTTGGCTCCACTCCTGACCACCCCAAATTGTACTGGCAGACTCGAGCTGGGCTTCCTTGCAGCTCATAGCCACCAATGCAGGAGAACTCACAGGTAGCACCATAGTTATTTCCATCACCTGAGCACTTGATGTAGCCATTATCTGGGGCATTTAACTTCACACAGCGCCTGACTTTGAGCAAGAAGAAAAAAAAAAA